GTAAAATACAAGAGAGCCTCATTTCTAGTGGACACACCCAATGCCAGAGGGCTTGGCTCCTTGAGTGGGATGTAGAATAAATGTTAGTCCCCACTCTTACCCTAAACCATCTGCCATTGGTCCTGTGCCTCAAGGGTGAACTTTGATAAAGAACTTGGGCTCTTGACATTATCACTGAGTGATAGCCATATTAGCTGGATATGTGGCTGTCACTCGAATGCTAGCTCTTCTCTCTTGCTCCCTATGCAGATTAGTAAGGGTGTATAGGAGCACAGACATTTCAGTTGAATGTTGAAGGATGCAACTTTTCAAGCAAGGAAGAACCACATGCAGCTGTTGTTTGTATTTTAGCAGGGAACCTGAGCAGTCCTGAAGAGGAGGGATTTGGGTGGGAGGGGACCACCGTGAGACATGAGGTAGGGTGAGTAGCTGGGAGTCTAGCAAAACTGATGAGAGGGCAGGATCTGAGCTAGGGTAGTAGATGTGTAGAACAGGAATTCCACATGGACACAGGAGGAAGAATATACAGAACTTGAAACTGTTAAGAAATCATGAGTGAGGGAGAGGAAGGTGTCATGGGTAAGTTTAGGCCAACCAAGAGAACCCGTGATGAAGAGTATAAAACAAGTGAACTTCCAGAGGGACACAGTGAGTTCTCTCTTCTACACAGTAGTGATTGGAGGTTCCAACAGTCTGGAATATGGCAATGGATGGGCTGCTAACAGACTTAGGGATTTGGGGTTCACTGGAGTTTAGCAGGAAAGTAGCATAAACAGACAGGATGCCTCAGGGAAGCACAAAAGAAAAAAAACAGGGCCACAGCCAGAACTCACTAGCACTATGAACTCTAGTCTCTAGGCACAATTTGTTGTCCTTCCAAATCTGATGCCAATTTCCACCTTCACCCGTAGCATTCCTTCTTTCTAGCTGGGCTCCTTTTTCCTCATTTTCACCCGTAATAGCGAATTCTAATTGGAGCGTAACTCACGGAAGCGAATGTACCTGTCACTAAAGATACTTTCCAGAGAGCACTTGCTATCATTATTAATTAAACTATTGTATCTCTCTCCAGATATCTGACTGCATTAAGCATATCTTAATTGCCTGCATTTATAAGCATGCACTTTTATACAAAAGGCACCCATTTGTAGGTACTTTCAAATCTTGTCATTTTGCCAGCAGCTTGGAATTTTTGTATCCTCCTTATTGGCACAGAACTGACTCCAAGTCTAAAGTTTGATTACACACAGGAATGGCAGATAAATGCTAATCAGACAAATGACAAAGCAGTTAATCAGAGACTAACAGAGCACAAGACATAAACTGGAAGAAATCTATGAAGATCCTATTTAGATCTAAAGCTAAAAACAATTTTTATTATGAAAAATCTCAAACGCATACAAAAATAAAGAGAATAATATAAGGAACCCTCAATACCATGCAGCTTAAGCGATTGGCACCCATGGCCAATCTTGCTTCATCTATATTCCTACTGGAGAGTGCGTTATTCTAAAGTGTCCCTTTAAATGGAAAAGGACTATAGAAGGCAACTAAGCTCAATGCAGAAAATTTGACTTTTTCCCAGCAAGCCCTTTCTGTTGCTTTGGTATTAGGAGTGCAAATGCTGCACAGGTCTAGTTAAGTGAAGTTTATTACTGCAATTTCTCTTTCTATAGGAAACAGCCATTTAAAAATGGAAACACCTAGGATTCCAAATGAAAGATTTTTTTTTGGGGGGGGGCCTATAAAAAAATTTTTTCCCCAGCATATTGTGGGGGTACAAATGTTAACGTTACATATATTGCCCTTGCCTCCCCTCCCCCCTCAAGTCAGAGCTTCAAGCATGTCCATCCCCCAGTTGGTGCGCATCGCATTCATTATGTATGTATATACCCATCCCCTCCTCCCCCTACCTGCCCGACACCTGATAAATGTTATTCCTATGTGTCCACTTAGGTGTTGATCAGTTAATACCAATTTGCTGGTGAGTACATGTGGTGCTTATTTTTCCATTCTTGGGATACTTAATAGAATGGGTTCCAGCTCTAGCCAGGAAAATACAAGAGGTGCTGTATCACCATTGTTTTTTATGGCTGAATAGTACTCCATGGTATACATATACCACATTTTATTAATCCACTCATGTATTGATGGGCACTTCGGTTGTTTCCACATCTTTTTAAAAAGGTTATCTTTCAGAATTTGGCATGTAGCATGTTTAGAATGACAAAAATATATATATTTTAAAATAACATGTTCTTAATCCAACCTAATAGCTGAGATGTTTTAGTTTTTTTTTTTTTTTTTTTGAAGAAAAAAAAATTCCACGATTCTAATTATCTAAATATCCTCCTTGTCACTGAGATTTGAAGTTTATTGTGTTACCCTATTCTTGGGCATTTTGCAACACTCACAATATCTGAATCACCATCTGTTCTGTGGAAGTGTGACTCATTAGTGGCTGTTTTCAGTAGCATATTGCTGAATAAAAAAGTTCTAATAATCTAATTAGAAAGAGTCAACCATAATTACTGGTTGAGAGTGGAATATTGGTCATAAACTTTCTAGACCTTTGTAATGGTTCATTTCCCTGGAGTGTGGTATTACCTCTGCCACTTCCATTAAAGTCACATATGAAAACAGGCTTGAGAGAGAGAGCTATGAGGCAAAACTATAACACCTAGAAGATTTTAGCTCCAGTTCATTAAGAATGTGGTAAATTATTTGGTTTTGTCCCTTTTACAACTATTTGGGGAACTTTCTTATACTTATTTACTATATGGTATTTCAGAAGTTTCTTACTGATTTCTACCCTCCAAATATATCTAAAAAGTATATTCATTTCCTAAAGAAACTTAATAGAGTGAAAAATTAATTGGAAGTTTTTCAGTCTGTGGAGTGGACTAAAACTCCACTATCTTCAGAAGCTCTTGCTCAACATTGAGTCCCCTCTTCTGAACAAAAGCTTGGACAACACATCATGAAGTTTCTTTTTTTTTTTTTTTTTTTTTTTAGACAGAGTCTCGCTTTGTTGCCCAGGCTAGAGTGTTGTGGGATCAGCCAAGCTAACAGCACCTCAAACTCCTGGGCTCGAGCGATCCGTCTGTCTTAGCCTCCCGAGTAGCTGGGACTACAGGCATGTGCCACCATGCCCGGCTAATTTTTTATATATATATCAGTTGGCCAATTAGTTTCTTTCTATTTATAGTAGAGACGGGGTCTCGCTCTTGCTCAGGCTGGTTTCGAACTCCTGACCTCGAGCAATCCGCCCGCCTCGGCCTCCCAGAGAGCTAGGATTACAGGCGTGAGCCACCGCGCCCGGCCTCATGAAGTTTCTTTTTAAAGTAGCTGGAAGTACAGTTGATTCTATCCATTAATATGCAGTACTAAACAGACCATCATCACCTGACACATGCCAAATACTTGATAGTAATACAAACATTTACAAGGCACTATTAAGTAAGAAAAGAAAGAGCAGAATAGCACTGGCATGAAATGGAAAAAGCGAGTCAGCTGCTCTCTTGAGTGGTGTTTCAGGCACTTCAAAGTGGGAACTGCTGTAATGGGTGCCTCCACCCACAACATCCTGGGTGCTCTCATTTCAGATGATAACCTGTATCTGGTTCCAATGCAATTAGCAAACGGCAGGATTCTTCATGGAGAAGGATATGCCAGACACATACAGCTTATTTGCTGATATGCAATAAATCTCTAGTGTGCATACATTTGCTTTATATTGAGATATGCACCATCATAATCGTCATCCATGTACCACTGCAAGGTAAGGTCAGACAAATGCAGGCATTTTGGAGATTTACATAGCATCATGTTATGTCATACTTCACTCCCTTTTGTAAGAAAAACAGAAATGGGAGAACTTAACGCATATGAAATATTAAATATGTTGCTAGGAAAACCAGGTGCAGTGGACAGTGGACATGAAGTGCCATAAAGGACAGTGGACATGAAGTGCCAATTTCCTGGCCTTGACAATGTACTATAGATATGTGAGATGTCTCCCACTGAGGAAACCAGGTGACCGATGCATGGGACCTCTTTGTATTATTTTTCCAAGTTCTTGTGAGAGTCTAAGTATTTCAATGATTAATAGCCCATTGTATTTTAAGCTTAAACAACAATGTGGTTCAGAGAACCATTTTCCATCAAAGAGAGTGGTGTTTTAATATAACAATAACCTCAAAGTCAGAAGTCACCACTCTGAGAGGCTGAGGCGGGTAGATTGCTCAAGGTCAGGAGTTCGAAACCAGCCTGAGCAAGAGCGAGACCCCATCTCTACTAAATGTAGAAAGAAATTAATTGGCCAACTAAAAATATATAGAAAATATTAGCCGGGCATGGTAGCGCATGCCTGCAGTCCCAGCTACTCAGGAGGCTGAGGCAGGAGGATTGCTTGAGACCAGGAGTTTGAGGTTGTTGTGAGCTAGGCTGATGCCACAGCATTCTAGCCCAGGCAACAGAGTGAGACTCTGTCTCCAAAAAAAAAAAAAAGTCACAGCTGTGTGGTGTTTTGGTTGTGCTACTTAGTATGCATGTGACATGGACAAGTGAGTCACTTAAATTCTAAGTTTAAGCTTTTTCATTTGTAAAATGGTGCTGTCGTGCGACTTATGAGATGAAAAAAGAGTTTCTTCCTCCTTAATTAAGTACCAAAGCATCATAAAGCAATACCCTGAAGACTGGACAGATTAGAAAAAAAATGCTACCAAGTATAACTCAGTAACAAGGGGCTCATTATTACACAAATATACCACAAGTCAGGTTACATTCTTCCAGTCTGGTAAGCATGAAGAGATAAGAACCTGATGCAATTGCTAAGGCAAGAGATCTAGTTCCATTCTCCAGGAGTTTCCTTGTAAAAGGTAATCTGCTCTTTTAACTTCCACATTCCTGGTACAGATAATTTACTTCCCTGATTTCCCTCGGGGGTGGGGTGGGGGATATATTTAAACGGCTGGACATTAAAAGAACAGCTTACTTACCAACTTCATCCTGAATCTCCTCAGCCACTGCAGGCACGTTGTAGAGCAGGGAGAGAGACTGATTCATGCGCTCATAAATCACACGGAGATGTGTCATAACCTGCACCAAAGGATGACAACTCCAGGTAAACAATGCCCGGGGTAGGAACAGTTATTTTTCTTACCATGCACTATTTCCAACATAGTGACAAACACTGCTAGAATGTATATCTCACAGGGCAACCTTATTTTTCTTGCTCTCCTATTTTTCTGTTCTTTAACTTCTGAGCTCTACTGTGTACACTTATAGCAGCCAGTTAGAAAGACCACCTCTGCCAACTCTCCTAATACTGAGGCTCCCTGAATACTCCTGATGTCCTAAACATACTTCTTTGCAAATTTTCCAACAGAAAAGGACATGTTTCAATTTGGTATTTCATGCTAAATATATTATTTTTTAAAAATTCTTCCATTCGAGGAAATATAAAATTTTCAATTTCCTATAGTAGGTCCTGGTTTTCAACCTTTGGGAACAGGGGCGTATAACACATACTATTACAGGGCTCCATTTAGGTTCACATTAAATCCAAACATTGTGGCAGCAATGAAGTTTACAACTACCTGCCAAAATTTAGTTGAATCGATTTTAAAGGTTTTAGTTCACAGAACTTTCCTTTTCTTCATTTTTGTTGTCAAGAGTTTTAAATGGTTCCTTAAGAATCAATAGCAGTAGACACTCAGAAAATGCCAAAGCACACAGTGTTTTCAGAGCAACCTTTTAGAATTTGCCACTGAGGACACAATACCCATAGGTGCTCTTGAAGTGCCTGGAATCCTGTCACCAACCCAAGGAGTAAGAACACTGGCTTGCGGGAGCTGCAGATGGGTACGACAGTCAGCGCTTACCTGGGACCGGATCTGGGCTGCTTTCTTGGGATCCACCATGCGCACGTGTTCAAAATGCTTCAGGGTGTGCTGTCTGTCTTTCTGTTCTGCACGGACATACTTCTTTAGCATGTTGAACACATGACGAGGCTGTGGGGGAGAAAATGAAAAAAAAAAAAGTTTTCAGGTCTGTGCAAAATATTGCTTCTTCTATTGGCGTTGCATCCAGAGGTCCCACTCATTCACTCTGTGATGTGAAAGCAACACGAGTCATCTTTTTGCCATTCTCCCTTCTAAACATTTCTCCCACTTCTTTCTTCATGAGCAATTATTTAGATGGGGCACTCTTCATTTCTAAAAGAGCACTGTGCATTTTCAACATATATGATGAATGTTCACTTTAACTAACATTTTCTTTTTAAACAGGAGCATCTGCTACAGAAGGAAAACAGATTCTGGATCTGTCAGATTTAAGTTAGGTCCTTCTCTTCTCCCACCCAAATATACAGGGGCATATATGAGACTACATTTCTATACACACAGTCTGAAAAACAGAAGTAACATTGCACAAATAATCCCATCATCAGTAATATAATTGAAATAAGAAAAATAATAGGCAATTTAACCATTATTAATTTGTAGGCCAAGAAATAAGCGATAAGCTCTAAGAGGCATTTTATTTTTCTAGGAGAAAGGCCATTGCTAAACTGTATTTATTTTACTTTGAAATTTAATTAAGTCCTTTCTGAGCCATTGGATTCTCTTTCAGCAACAATTATGTTTCTTCTTAAGTGCTTCTATATTTTGTAATTGGTTCCATTTCATTTTTATTCCAGTTTTACATGAAAACATTCATCCTAATTTTTAAAAAAAAGAACAAAGGCTCCTTTGTCTTCAGCAATTCCATTGCTGTATACACTCTACTACATGATTTTGGAATATGATTTCTAAACATATGCATTATCTTCTTCACTAAAACAAGAAAACCAGCTATAAAATTCATGTCAGGAATACAATTTTGGCCATTTGGGCAAACCTAGTAATTATTAATCTATGTGAGAGGGGCACCTTGAAAACAAGTTGGAAGATATGAAGTTTATTCCCAGAGATGGGGTGTGTGGTGTTAGCAGTGTTACAACAAAGAGTTACAATGCTTTTGTTGTGTTGTCCATATTCCATGGGAGGTGCCTCTCTCTCTCCCCTTTTGCTTAGTTAATCAAGGTGCCATCAACCTGCCATCCCAGGTGGAATTTGGTGCCCATTTTCTGTGCTCCCGTGAAAAGCTGTGCAAATCTCCATTAATTTATGTAACACAACTTATTAAATTATCTGTGTTTCTGACTTCCCTCTTTAATGTGAGATCCATAAGACCACATTTGGTCTTACTCTCTTTATTATTGGAACCCCAGTTACATGGTGCCTGGCCCAAAGAGGGTGCTCTGTGCTTGCTTGACGAATCCTGCCACAGGCCATGTTTCTATACTCAAGAAAACAAGTACATACAATAAAAATAAAATAAACCTGCGAGGGCTGGTGTCTGCCTTCCTTATTTCTTTTTTCCTAGAAGAAACGTACTTCCCCATAAATCCAAGAAAGGCAGACACCACAGCTTGGAACACAGCTTTTTGCAACCTGCCATTGCAGCTCTCATTTGTACTGTGAAATCTGGTTGAGTCTACAAATCAGAGAATGACCTTTGAAATTTTACAAGAAGGAAAGTAGTAAAAGTGATAATAATTGATAAGCTGTATCTATTCATATTTAAAAGATGACAGGTTTATACATGCTAATTTTAGAAAAAAGAACATTTTAAAACATCAGAGATTGAAGGCTGACTATTGTTGATCGCGAAGTTTATTATATATGCAGGATTGTGAGATCAGGCTATTGCACACCCTTGACACTTGCTTGTTATTAAGCACCAAGGCCTAAGAAATCCCTTTAGTTCTAATTACCGTTATACCTCCAAGGCTGGAGACAGAAAAGGTTTCAACTAAGTGCATTTATCCACAATGCCTGTGCCGGCCCGCACTGATGCAGCTGACTGGCTTTATGTACTTTCCTACTTGCTCTATTTCATTTTTCTCTCTTGAAAAGGATTTATTATTTTGAAGAAAATGGAATTCTTTTTTCTGTTATAGAGTTCAAATAAAAAAAAACCACTTCAATTAAAAACTTAAGAGCCAATCTTCACTGTAACATTTTTCTCTTTTACAGTCAGTCACCTATGAATGTTCCTTTAAGGTATTTTGTCCTGAAAGGATTGTCACCAGCAAGCGAGTGCACTAGGAGGCTGGGCTCTGCACTGGCCTCGGCATCACTGCTTGCAGCTAAATTGCAGTCTAGAGGATGCAGAAGTCATTTCTGATAACTAGCATCTGGGTCTCCCCCTTTCCTTCCACTGTCATCACAAACAGCATACGTTCCCACTTGCTAATTATTCACGCTAACATCCATTTCTAAAGAAATATGAAAGCCACAACTTTCCCATCTGTGCAATTTAGATAGCAATATCTTTTAGAGTGCTTGAGGATTAAAAACGCCCTGTGCTAGTTACCCTGCATAATGCGTAGTCCATTGCAGGTACTCGATACACATGTATTTCTTCCACTTAGTCCTCTCCTCCAACTCCCCCACCCCTTTCTTTCCTCTAAGCAATAAGAGTTCAACATGTGCTGACTGCTTACATGGGACAGTGTTTTAAATCTTTATGCACGGTAACTCAACGCATCTTTATCTCTGACACAGGTGCAAGGGGTCTCTGCACCTTACAGGTGAGACACGAGGCATAATGGTTGAGGTTACACAGGCTGCAGTGCTGGCCCGGGGTCCCAGAGCTAGTCAGGGTTACAGCAAGAACAGGCTAGCCCAGCTGCCAGCCTCCAGAGCCCCTTCTTGCAATTACTAAGTGATCCTGCTTTTCAAGAAGGATCTAAAATGGACCAAGGTAAAGACCAGTTCTACAAAGCAACTTACAGGGTTGAAAACCAAGAAATAACTGAATGGTTAGAAAAGAGAGTATGTTTCAGGAGACCTTGCCTGAATTTCTAGTTCCTAAAAGCTCAGGTAATATTCTTTCGGGGCACGTTAATATCAGCTCTTTTCACTGTGCAGAAGATTCCAATTTAACTTGTTCAGGCTCTCAATGACTAGCTGAGGTTTTTCGCATTCCGTTACTCTTTAGCTAACTCATAGAATTATTTAGCCAATTATTAAACTACTATGGAAGGATGGGAAATAGCAAGATAGGAACGTCCTCTGTCCATCTGGACAGAGGATTAGGATTACTGGAAAATGATTAAAGGTATTAGTCAAAAGTTAGGCTTTTGTGACATTCGTGGATTCTAGTGCTAAATTCATCCTTATCTTCTATTAAAGTGGATAATGAAATGGTGAATGTGTTCACATGTTTTCAATTGCTGATCTCATTTAATACTGCCATATGGCTTCCAAATACATTCAGAAATATATTCCTAACTTACCCTGAAAACTCCTAGAGCTTGATAATGACACAGTAGCATACCAGGCTCTCAGGATTGCCCAGGTTTCAGCTCCTCCAGAGATGATGAACCCTAGGAGCCCAGAGTAAGCTCTGACCTCATCACTGTTTATGTGAGCCACATACACACCGTGTGTGCACCTACATAAACAATCCTCGTCCCTTCCTAAGGCCTATTCGACAAACAAAGCCCTAGGACATCAAGATAATTCAGGATATCCCTCAATAAATGAATTACAGGGTTCTGCCTGGCTGATTTGGCCATGTAAATACATTTCTAGGAATCATGCTACAAATGAAAAAACAATCAGATTAGCTCCTACGCTGGAGAGTAGGCAGATAAATCATACCAGATAAAATGGCTGTCATCGGTACACCCCAGAAACAAACACTATTTTTAGTTAAGAAAGAAAAACAGGTAACATTCTCTGTATTTTCACATTTCCATTTACCTTAGGTTAACAAAATAAGAGTATTCCTTTTGGAATATGATTCATGCATGTTTCATTCAAATAAAGAAATAATTGTGCTTACAACTTTTAGCCAGAATATAAATCCCCAACGCTTAACATCAGTTATTTCTAGAGCTGTATCACATATCTCAGAATAACAAGGTCTCTTGACTGTCTAGGGAAGTTTATTTTATTATGCTAAGACAAAGATGAATTTCTTAAAATTTTAATTAAAAACACAGAAACATTCTTACAGGAATGGTAGAAAAAAATACCTTTTATCACTATAGAAACATATTCTCTTTAAGTAACTGCTAATACCATTGTCACAATACTCACATTTAAAGTGCATTATTCATGTGATTATAAAAACTTAAGAATTTTCAGCAGCTTACGATAAAGATATTAATTGGTAGAGTTTAAGAAGCTTTTAACCTGCATGTAAATAATTCTTTGTCACAAGATGTTAAATCTTCTGTAATTAGTAAATAATTTTTCTAGTAAATTCCTCCTATCTCAGAGTCAAGAAATACTCTACATTAATACTACAATCTGGTTATATTGGCATTGGATGGCTAACCTTATTATTAAAATTTACAGCAAAGAATAGAGAAAATAGAAGGAAGAGATCTGTCCCAGGGAGACTCATTATATCCAATCCTTTTTATTGTCACTGCTGTTTTTGAAAGTGTTTAGCCCATCGTTACATAGTATCTGTTTGTAACTGATGTGGAACTTTTCAATTTGTACCAAATTCATCTCACAATCACACTGCCTTTTAAAATATAATTTAAAAAAATTCTTAAAGGATTAAGAATAGAGATTACTATTAATAAAATAGATTAGTCATTATTTACAATGAGAGAAACAGAATATTTATATTTTGAGGCATTAACCATTTTTACCTCTAGGAACAAAACAAAAGCCTAACATATTTCGTCCTGCTGGCACGGTTCCTGGCACAATTTGGTTGCTAATAAATGCTTGTTAATTAAATTAATGAATAACCTAGAGCTAAATATAATTTCAGAAGTAGGTCCAGAAGTATAGAATATCTTTCATGGTATCCAAGTGGCAAATAAGCATCTCACTACTTAGAAGAATAGCATTTCCAATTTTCATGGAAATGCTGATACAATATTATAAATCCCCTTTATCTATCTAACCAGTGTGCTTTAATAAGTTGTTTTGACTGGGAA